ATATATATATATATATATATATATATATATATATATATAAATTCAGCTGACCTTGATTTGCAGCAAGTTAAGAGTTTCCATAGGAACAGCTACTTTTCCTTCACTTGGCGGTTCGCGGAATAGCGAGAAGTTGGTCCCACTCAGCACTGCGTAGCACAATTCCTGTGGCAATGAGAGTATGTGGATTGTTGGGTTTTAATATATGATAAACCCTAAAAGTATAAATGAACACAAGTATTGGGCTGCTATACTACTGCAGATCGCTAGTGCCACTGTGTGCAGCGCTAGAAATGTACATACAAGAATTAATCGGCAATCTCACAATACAAAGGAAAGGTACTAATTAGTCCTGGTTTATGGGGCAAATCCATTCCAGGCTGTATGTACCTACTAGTACAAATCCTGTGCCAATGAGAGTATGGTGTGTGCAGGCACATGTACATGCACAGTACAGTCACTTCAGCTGAATTGTCCAACCTCGAGACTATAAAAGGTGTGCGTACCACTGGACAGAACAGCCGGTTGTTAGTATGCGTATGCATGTGAAGGGAAACAACAGCCTCCCGTATCAATAGTATACTGACAACTTGATTAAACATAATGGTTGTCAAACGCGTTTGAGACAATCAAACGTCTACTTTTCTGATGTAGAAGCCTATCCATTGCTGACTGGGAGTGCTTCTATTCTTCTTCACACCCAGCCACCCCTCTGTAAAGCTGTATTGTATCATATACGTTCCATATACTATCAGCCGATCCTTGCTTCCGTACCATAGACATACATTCCCCACTAGATAGCAGTAACACAACAGTCGCGTGCATGAAGACTCCCATAGCGTCGTGCACACTCGCAGACGTGCACATACCCATTGCTGAATGCGGGTGGGAGTGTTCTTCTGCACATCCAGCCACCCCTCCTTGAAGGCGTCCTTCACATACACCGTCACGCGTGCTTTGTACGTGTATGGCTTGAGCAACAGGCAGTTGTTGGTACTGCGGAACTGTGAGCTGAAGCCGTGGGTGGTGTCCAGGTTGTTCAGAATAGACAGGACCGACAGGGATGCTTCGCCTGTTGTAAACCGTGATTATCCGGTGGAAACTTGGTTTATGACGTGGAAAAAAATCTTGGTCGTGCTTGTGTGCTGGGTTTGGGCTGCATGCAGTTGTGGGTACTACGAAAGGGGTACGCCTTCTGTGCCCGATAAACCTGGTTTACAATCCACAGAAACTTGGTTGTATCGAGCGGAGAGAATGTGTTAGTGCATAAAGACTTAGAAATAAGTTGGGCTCTGCTCCCAGGGTGTCTAATGTAAGGCTGCCTCGCTTGTGCCATGACCGTGAGGTACACTGTTCACTGCTGATGTATACTTGGTTTACAAGGCTTTGTGTGTCATACATATGCATCAATAAATACTACAAACTTTGTTTTTGCTGCCGATGTAAACTTGGGTTACAAGGTTTTGTGTGTCATACACCATTGCTGATGTCAACTTTGTTTACATGGTATTGTGTGTCATACACATGTATCGATAAGTACCATTAACTGTGGTTTCACTGCTGAGGTAAACTTGGTTTACAAGGCAATGTGTGTCATTCATAGGCATCAATATGTACTATAAACTGTGCCAACCGGATTTGTCTCCACCGCCATTGTCGTCAATATGCGCTCCAACAACCAACAGCGCACATGGCAAAAGGGCAAGTCTAAATATCATACCACCAAACTCTAAACCCTAAATCCTGAACCCTAAGCCGCATCAGCGAGACCTGGAACACCTTCGAGACGCATATACGCATATTCTCAATTTAGGGTTTAGGGTCTAAGGTTTAGCTGTACATTAAACTGTGTGTCATTGAGCAGTGGACGTGGTACCTGGGTTTAGGGTTTAGGCCCACGTATGGTAGGTGTACGCTTAGTTGGTAGTACTTGCACATCACAGACGATGTGATACTATGTCAATTATGGTAGGTGTACGCTTAGTAGGTAGTATCAACACAGCGCAGACGATGTAATACTATGTCAACTATGGTAGGTGTACGCTTAGTAGGTAGTATTAACACATCACAGACGATGTGATACTATGTCAATTATGGTAGGTGTACGCTTAGTAGGTAGTATTAACACTGCACAGACGATGTGATACTATGTAAATTTTAGTGGGTGTACTCTTCATAGGTAGACCTCAAATACTTATACCTACCTAGTAACTTGTCCACGGACATAGAGTCACCTGGCAAGTCCAGTTCCATATGACTTTGGGTTTTCTTCGTCTTCTTAACCCACTGGAACATCTTGGGCGTCGCAGAGGAGGTGCGTTTGACAGTAGCCAGGGGTGACTTAACGAACACCTCCAGCTGAAGAGTATCGAATGGGCCGATGGGACTGTGGGGCGGGGCAAGGACAGGTTGTATGAGTATATGGTATGACATATAGGGTGTGTGTTATTGCATATGTATTTACAAGTGATATGCTATTACATAAATAGTTACAAGTGATACACTATTACATACATATTTACAAGTGTTATACTATTACATACGTAGTTACAAGTGATGTACTACTATTGCGTACGTTTTTACAAGTGATGTACTATTGCATACGTATCTACAAGTGATGTACTATTACATACGTATATACAAGTGATGTACTATTGCGTACGTATCTACAAGTGATGTACTATGAGATACGTTTTTACAAGTGATGTACTATTACATACGTGTATAGAAATATGTGTTTCTACAAGTGTACGTAATAGTATGAATAGAGTATATACTATTACATACACATGTATAAGTTCAATAGAGCGTACGTTTTAGCGACGTACAATGTTCCATCTATATTCCTATGAAACCCATAAACGAAGACTATTCCAGTCCTGATATTTCGTCTGCCACACTTACTGATATTCGGGTGCTTTCAAATGCACAGTGGTCATGCTGGACTTATTCCGCACCTCTCCGAATTCATACGTGACCAAATCTCTTGGTTTCTGGTATGCTTCTGCCGATATTTTGGCTTTGTTCAGGGCTAGCTTGGCCGAAATTGTGGATCTTGCATCCCGTGCAATGCGCTCCTTTCCTATCATATTCAGTTCCAGGTGCAAATCTGTGCGGTAAAGTGGTATAAAACAGGAATAAGCGAATAAAAAGAGGGTTTAGCGTTGTGTAGGTGTATTTTAACTCTCCAACTAGCTTACGGAAACGGCTACATTCAGATATATACCGAACTTCAATTTATTGGCCGGGGTTAGAAGTATGCTAATGCAGACTAGCTGGGTCCTTTGTACATTTGGTACGTTTTGTGCAGATAATTTGTTTATACATTTAATAAGTTTTGTGCAGATATGTCGTTTATACATTTGATACGTTTTGTGCAGATAAGTCGTTTATACATTTGATACGTTTTGTGCAGATAAGTCGTTTATATATTTGATACGTTTTGTGCAGATAAGTCGTTTATACATTTGATACGTTTTGTGCAGATAAGTCGTTTATACATTTGATACCTTTTGTGCAGATAAGTCGTTTATACATTTGGTACGTTTTGTGTAGATAAAACACAGCATGATGAACCCACAGGTCGTACACGTACACACACAGTAGTATGATATATCCAAAAAACACAGTAGAACTATTGTACGACTATAGGAAGTACTATATATGTCATAGCCACAGTAGTATGATATATCCTATACTCAGTAGAGCTACTGTACGACTATAGGAAGTACTATATATGTCATAGCCACAGTAGTATGATATATCCTATACACAGTAAAACTATTCTACGACTATAGGAGGTACTATATGTGTCATAGCGAGTTCCCAGGTCGCAGCCATGGGAACCAATAACCTATCAGGGACACAGATGTATGGGCGTCACAGATGTAAGAATGTTTAACAATAATCTCCAAAGATGAATTGTGTTTGCTGTTAAGCTTATTTGTACAGTAAAACGTGTTGCTATGTCATCAACCGCCCATGCTCTAGAACTTTCTAGCTGATTTTGAGACTCCGAGAGACAGTTCCTTCTTTTGATGTAAACGAATACATATATACACAAATCATATACCTAGGGTACTCATCAGTCTCTTTTCCACTACCAAAACTTTAGAGTCGTAGGTATTATGTGCTATATATATATATATATATATATGTGTGTGTGAGTGTGTGTTTGTGTGTGTATGTGTGTATTTGAATATGCATATATATACATAATGTTCGCAAACCTCATACCTCGGATGCTCATGATTCCTGTGCCCACTAACTCAGAGTCTTTGTGGACACTTTCCACTGTAAAAGGCAGTGCTTCCATATTTTGTGGATTTTTTGCACTCGCTTTGCGTTGCCAAAGGGGGGGGGAGGTAGTCACTGGAGCCCCGGGTAAATCGCTGCAAATATGGGCATTTTGGTGGGTTTTAAGTGGGGGTTTAGATTTTTAGTCCTTCCAAGGTTCACAACTTTTTTGTTTTGCTTCCAATTGAAAACCAGTTGAAACGCCAATGCATAAGCCAAGGGGAATGCTGTATAGCCGGAGAGACAATTGATGTCCAAAACAGTGGTGATAGGTGTAGGCGGTGAGCTGTGTGTTTAAGAGTTCTCTCTTTCAGAAGTGGACAATTGATGTCCAAAACAGTGGTGATAGGTGTAGGCGGTGAGCTGTGTGTTTAAGAGTTCTCTCTTTCAGAAGTGGACAATTGATGTCTAAAACAGTGGTGAGTGGTGTAGGCGGAGAGCAATGTGTTTTGAAGATTTCTCATACAGCTGAAAGTGGATAGTTTATATATAGCCGGGTGAATCGGAAACAAGTTAAATAGCCAGATCAGCTGGCCGCTTACCCGGAGAATACGTACCCGAAAATTAAAACACGTAAAAATATATTGTAGCTCTTTGATACAGTCGGTGTGCCACGGACATATATCGGCTCTTACATGCCAGATACGCATAGACAGATGCAAAACCAAATACGCATAGATAGACGCAGAATGTATATTTCTTTGCACAGTTCTCTGATTGGTAGCGAGCGATTCCAAACTCACAGGCAAGCTCAGAAGGTAATAGATGACGTGCTATTATAGCAATCACAATACAAAACAAAGGTGCAGCTTTTGTGTAATATTTATTGCGCATGTGCCGAAAGTGAGAATGTGACACAACTATTGGTCTGGAATATGGAATGCTCAATGCAGAGAATCCGGATATATTTTACATTATATATATATTATATAACACACACACACACACACACACACACACACACACACACACACACACACACACACACACACACACACACACAC